ACTACTTTTTTAAAATCTTCTACAGTCCAATTTTCGTAAGTACGAGCCCAAAGTAAACGCCTTTCTTTATTAGTTTCGGAAATTAATGGACTGAAGCGAGGAATGCGCGAGTGAAGACCTTGTTTGACCAATTCATTACGGACGGTTTGTTTGGAAATAGTTTTGTTTGTTCTATTTATAACATTTAAACGTATTTGGGAGAGGGTTTGACGTCGGGTTTTTTTATTCCTAACCACTGAACGCTTGAGATGTTTGCGTTCTGCTTCGTTAAGGATTCGTGGTCGACCTGTTCGTTTCTTCGGAAGTTGTTTTAACTCATATGACTTCCATACACGTCGAACAGAGGAACGAGAGCAACCAACAACTGCGGAGATTCTGGAATTTGAATGGCCTAATTTTTTTGCAGCAATAATTCCCCCTTTTTGAACATTGCTAAGTTCTTTTCCGAGACACATCGTTGCGACAAATTTTTTCTCACTATATAATGTAAAAAAATTTTTCGTGTGCCCAAATGACCTCATTTATATATCACAATGACGTTTTGTTTATATTTTTAGTTAGACACAGTCACGCGCAATTAAAAATGGAAATTATGGCTTGATTCGGCAGAGGTATAACGACACGCGCCACTTTTGCATCACATTAACCAGGGTGGCCAATACTTTTTATACCCCCCTGTAGGTTGAATTTTTCTATCTATTTTCAATATATTATCATATAGAGAATTTAAAGTAAATCTTTTCAGGTCTTGCATATATATAAGTAAAAATATACTAAAAGATTATTAGAAATATATAAAAATTGCTAACTTTTCTGTTTGTAATTTATCGTTAGATTTATTTAAGCTTATTATTAAATATACTAATAAAATTAATTTTTGTCCAATTCTATAAAAAATTATAGTTATAAATTTTTATGCATTTTAGTATACAAAACTTCAGTAACTATAACTCATATTAAATAATAATGTATTTTTGTAACAATCAAGTTTAATTGATAAGGTAGAAGATATCTTTTTAATATAGTTTTTAACATATAAATTTCATATTTTTTCTCAAGATTTTTACGTAAATTATTTATTATCTAAACTTTATTAGCTTCTTTTTATTATTTTATATTAGTTGATCTAAATTCTATATAATTATATATATATTTATATAAATCTAGATATTTGAAGAAAAGCAATAATTTTTAAGGTTTATTATAACAAATAACCTTTTGTTTTGATAAGTTATCTCAATTTTTTTTTTTAGTTTTAGAATATTTGACATTTCTTTTTAAATTTGCAATTTTATCTTTATTATATTTAACTTTATCTTGCAAGTTTTTTACTTTTTAGTATATGTCAAAATGAATTTGAATATTATTGAAAATTTTATATATTTATTTAAATTCATAAATTTTCAGATAATTGAATTGCATCTGCTATCCTTCTTTAAGCTGAAATGTTAGCAGAAATTTTTGATAAAAGATTTATTAAATGAATAGTAAAAGGAAAGAATATGAATTAATTTTTTTATAAATACAAAATATTTATATCTTATTAATTATATATCATACAGAATAAGTAGTATAATCATATAGTATTCAATACTCTTTTCTTAATATTATTTTACTTATTGACAAATAACAATACAATTAGAAGTATATTAACTTATTTTTACAATAATACTATATACATAAACATTTGTAAACTTTTAATATTTATTAGTTAATAGAATATATAGGCTCTTTGTAATAGAAAAGGCAGAAATTATCAAAAAATTTTTTTTAAATTAATGTTAAATCTAAATTTATTTTACTAAAAAAATAATTTTTAGCTTATAAATTAAACAAAATTATTTTGGTAGTTTTTGTTCTTTTTATTACAAAGTACCTATATATTGGTTTTTTATTAAATTTAAGACTAAGAAAAAATATTTGATAATTTATTTTTTAGTATTTAAAATAAAATATCAAAATGCTTATGAAAAGAATATTACAAGTTATAAATATTAAATGCAAAACAAACGTGTTAAGCTTTATAAATTTAAATAATTTTTGAAAAAGATTATTACAAATATTGAAAGATTTTAACAATATATGTATTTTTTTAATAAATGAATTTCTTTTAAATTTAAGTATTATATTTTTTTTTTATCTTTTATGACTATATAAATTATAATAAATTATATTAATTTTTTTATATTGATTATCAGATATATAAAATTAAATTATATGATTTTGTAGTATATTTTATCTAAAAAGAAAGTAAACTTTTATATTAACATAATGTTAGATAATATCTGATAATATCTTAATTTAAATATTTTTTAGTAACTAATTTTTGTGAGAAATAAACATAATGTAACTTAAAATTTTAAATAAAAATTAAAAATAATTTGTTAATTTTTTTAAAAATTTTTATAAGGAAAATATATATGTTTATAAGTTAAAATAATTTGAATAAATAAACTCTATTGAATATGATTATTTTTGTAATATTACACAAAATTTACATATTCTTAATTTTTTCCTACTATAGTAAATTAACCAATATTCAAAACTATGTAATACAATCAAAACTTAAAATATTTCAATTTAAACTGATAAGTTTAAGAGCTTTTGATATTATTTAAATTAATAATTAAAATTTTAAAATAATTGTTTTGGCTAATGTGACATTAATTTAAAAATGGCATATTATTACTATAAGAAGAGGTCAGTTATAAAGGTATTGTATATATATATATTAATTATTATTTAATAATATTTTTTTTTTAAAAAAGATATTTATGCTAATATTTTATATAATCAATTATATTAATCTTCTTTTAGAAAATAATTAAATAATATAATTTTTAAAAATAATAAATATTTAAAAAAAAATTTAAAATTTAATTTATAAAAATACTTATATTTATTTTGTAAAAAAAAAATTCTAATTATTGTTTATCTTATTTTTCTAAATATATGATTTTATTTTAGAAAAATTTTAAAATATCATTATTATAATAATTGAAGTATTTATTATTTTTATCCTTTTAAAAGATTATAAGTTATTTTTTTAGTGATTATATCTTACTTTTTTTTTAATCTATATTTTTAAATTTAATTTAATGTATAAGAAATTATTTATAACTAGAGTTGCTAGATGGAACCTAGAGGTTTTGCAAGTAGTCTAAATGGTAAAAGATAAAATTTAGCGAAATTCTAGAAAAGGTAAAACTATATCAAAAATGCGAAACTATATCAAAACTATAGTTTAAACGTTTTGCCAAATCCAAAATGAATTTAGACAAGCAACCTTATTTATAACCAAAATAATTATACATAAATAATAGATATATGTATATATAATTTTTAACTTATGATATTTAATCATTATAAACTTTCAATTTTAATATAATTGTTAGGAATTTTCACAAATAATATGTTAGATATTAACTTTAATTTTAACGTTACACCACCGTATAATTACCATAGCGGAATCACAGTTTGTTAAGTCTTTTTCTAAAAAGTATGTTTGAAACAATGAGTCATTTGTTGGGAACAGAGATCGCTAACATGGTATATTTCAAAAAAGAAGAGAAGAAATCATTGTAAATTAAATTTTTAATTCTAAATTAATTGATACCAAAAATTTCATAATGTTTGGAAGCTCCTCTTCATTTTATCTATAGCAGTCGGTAGTCAGATAGCTGCATATTCTATTGCTGCACCTTTACAGACAGAGAAGGTGTGATTTAAGATTTTTATCGCGTTAATTTTCATTTGTGGTCAGAATGTTTAATAAAAATGATTTATTCTCAAAAGTTTTTTGATCTTGTCGGGTGGTACGTTCTTCTTTACCAATTTATTTAACATGATTGAAATTTTCGTTAAATAATACGAATCACTTCAATAATTATAATAGCGGCACATATTCAATATGTGCAATTATATCTTTACTAAAACCATGGAACTTACCATTTCCTGATGATTTTCAATCAATTTTACGACGTTATCATCCTCGTCAACTACTTGCTACTGGAATGATGATAATTTGGTCAACTCGATTAGCAACCTTCTTATTTATTCGCGTATTAAGGGCAGGACGTGATTCAAGATTTGATAAAGTTAAAAAGATACCTATGATATTTATGATATATTGGTTACTTCAAGCCACATGGATTTTTATAACGGGATTGGGTGTTTATTCCATAAATGCTTTAGTGTGTTCATTTAACTTTGTGCATTCTTTTGTTTTTTAATCAAACATTCTAGTCCTAATCAATTAAATTCATCATAATAAGCCTAAAGAAGTTCAATCCGACCTAAGTTTGCTTGATCATATTGGGGCAGCGATTTGGCTTTTTGGATTAACATTGGAGGTTATCGCGGATTATCAAAAGACCGAATTTAAAAACAATCCAGGAAATAAAGAAAAGTTTATACAATCTGGATTGTGGAGGTGAATACGATTATTTATGTGGAAATAATTTTCTTTCTGTACATCGAATAATGATATTCTTTGCTAATTGTTCAGTCTAAGTCGACATCCAAATTACTTTGGTGAAATTATCTTGGTAAGAGATCAAATAATTTTTAATGTTTACAATTTTATTAAAATTTTAATACGTGAAAATTTAAAATATAGTGGTATGGGGTAACTTTACTTTGTTCACCAACAATTACCCAAGTATCTCAGACCAATCCCGAAATTGTTCGTCCGTTATATGCTTATCTTGTTTGGTTATCTCCTATATTCACAACTTTCTTGATTACAAAATTATCTGGTATCCCAATCCTTGAGAAAGATAGTGATAAAAAATTTGGAAGACTTAAAGAATATCAATTATATAAAGAAAGAACAAATGTTTTATTCCCTTGGTTTCCAAAAAACAAAGTTGAATAAATAATAAATCTAAAATATCTATATATATATATATTTGCAGTTGTAACACAGCCTCCTTTATATATATAAAACAATTGTTGATCACATTCACCTTCACACATTCTCTATAATGTTAAATAAAGAAAAATCGCGTCCAGGACGAACGTTTCGACATAGACAACGTCGACGCAAAGTTAACGAAAATCAACAAAAAGCCAAAAAAAGTGAACATATATTAGTTTTAATTGATTAAACGGATAAGACAAATCATTTGTATTTATTAGTTATATTATTTATAGTTATTCAGGAAGATAATTGGACTAATTTTCGAGAATGTTTAAAACGAAAAGGATTTCCAAAAACGAATTTGACTTTAGCTGAGTTTCAAGGTTTAATCTTTTTCACTTTTATATTTTTAGTGATACTTTTTTTTTTTTGTTCCTAACTCTATCTTTTTCTTAGATACGGGAAGAGGAATGATGGCAACGAGAAATATTAGTGTAATGGTTAAGTGCCTATGCTTAATTTATATAATCTTTTAAAGCCATTAACATTTATATTCTTAGGCTGGTGAAATTATAATATCTGTTCCGAAAAAGTTTTTATTAACTCATGATAGCTTGAGAGATCAATATTCTCGGTATATTTAACAGTTGCACTTTTCTTTATAGAATCATCAAATTTTGTTTACTTGATATATCATGTGTAGGCACCCAATGAAGTTCTCCGCACACCAGTTTATAGCCTTATATTTAATTTTGGAATATAAGAAAGGAACACAAAGTAATATTTATCCGTATATCGATATGTTGCCAAAGGATTTTGACAATATGCCACTAACTTACGGCAAAGAAATTTTCGATTTATTGCCATATAATGTCAAAGGTAAAATATCATAACATAATATGAGAAATTCAAACTAAATTCACATGTATCTATAACTTAGTGGACGTGGAATCTCAAAGAGCGAAGTTTGAACGTGATTATACAGGCATCAAAAAATTCCTTGATGTTAAGTTTTTATTAAAAGTATTATGTATTTATGATACAGTTTGTAAACTAATTGGGGTTGGGGTTTTTTTTCACAGGGTAAACCAGATGTTCAGTCAAAGATTTCACGCGAAGATTATTTATGGGGTTGGCTTTGTGGTATGTTAATGCTACGAGATCATGAGTAGCTTCAATCTAGATATACAATTGGATTATTATCTCGCAATCTTATTACTGATCAGGTAAATGCAAATATATCATTAAAAAATAGTTTCGGTAAATAAGTTGACACTTTATTAGTATTTCAAATTTTTGTAGTTAATACACGATGTATTTACCTCGAAACAAAGAGTTCGTATGATGTAAAAGATCATATTGCAATTGCTCCTTTTTTAGATTTTTTAAATCATTCACATGAGTCAAAGGTAAGAAATATAAATAGATGTGGTGAGACATAAGTAATAAAATATTAAATGTCACGCGACAATGTAGATCAAGGGCGAATTTAATCATATGACACAGTGTTATGAAATCACCACTTTGACCCCTTATAAAAAGGGAAATCAGGTTTTAATTTTTGACAATTTTGATATTTGATAATCTGTTATTGTTCTTTACATATATTTTTTACTTTTTTAGGTTTTTATTAACTATGGACCTCATGACAATTTTTTTATATTAATGGAATATGGTTTTGTTATTCCAAATAATCCTTATAATTATGTATCGCTTGACAAAGAATTCTTTGAAATTTCTTTTCCTGGAGAGTCGGAACTTATCAGACAAGAAAAACTTGATTTGTTATTTCATAATGGCTTTTACGGGTAAACCTTTTATATTTTATATACGACCAATGCGTGAATTCACATGTAACCAATTTCTGTCTTTTTTTTTTTTTTTAAAAAAATAAACAGTGATTATTGTTTACGCATATCTGAGATTTCATTTAGATTATTGACAGCTTTGCGTTTGCGTGTCTTACAACGATTTGATGACTCGGTATTAGAAACGCAAGGCATTGTACGAAAATGGAAAAACACTATTACAGGATTAACGGAGATTATTAATCCGGAAAATGAAAGATTAATGTATTTTTATCTTAAATTAATATGTGAGAATTCTTTGTTAAAATCTGAAACTGCTTTGGAGGCTTTGGTTAGAATATCTCAATTTCATTATTGCACATTATTTATTATGGACTAAATTTAATTTTTTTCTTATTGTTTTTCATATAGAAAGTATTTGAAGGGACAAATGTTTCTTTGTCACACACCAAACTACTTTGGTTAGAATCAATTACCATTTTGCGTTCCGTGATCAGTATTATACAAGATTTTCAACAGGAAATCTTTATGTAGTCTCCACACATGTACTACGTCTTTTGTATTACCTTGTCAAACATTTGAATGTTTGTTTTACATCTGCGGGAGTATTCATTATTTTTATAAAAAAAAAAACGTGCCACGATTTATTACTCTTTTATTTGTTTTTATCATTTACTGCGTATAATTAATTTGGTGGTTAAATGATTTGGTAATTTTTTTTCCTACAATAGCCTGAAACAATACCATAGGATGCGTAAGATGCGCAGTAAGATGCGCAGTAATCTACGTGCATTTGTGGTACAACATAAAATAATGTTAATTAAAAGATATGAGACAGGATTGGTCTTGTAATACTTTTTGTATATGTGATTGTACTTTTCTTTGTAATGACTATTAAATTCGCTTATATTCTTTCCATTTGCCGAATCAATAATTTCCAAAACTGTGGCGGAAATATGCCAAGGGCGCCCGAAAAAAATTTCCTTCTACGGAAAACGCAAATTTTTATTTTATTATATTTTTTTTTTTTTTTTTTTTTTTTATAGATTTGCACTAATTAAATTTTGGGGGAGTGTAATGAATGTTTTATTAATAGTTTTTCGAAAATTATCATGTATTAGTATTGACTGCGGATATTAGTGATATTTATAATTATGCGCTATTAATCATCGCCCTTGTTAAAAGCCCCTAAAAACCGGACAGAAAACCAATTTTCGTCTTCCCAGAATTATACTATCGTTGTGCATTTTCTGACCCCCAAAAAATTTCCGTAACAATAATTATTACCCACACCCCTTCAAAACAACTCCACCTTCCTTTGAAGTTTTCACCCTGACACTTAGTTGTTTTTCTCTGAAAACACCCAAAAAGAGATTATTTACCTACTATTCATCTATTATATTGTGCAATTATTACTTTTTTTTTTTTCATCTCAAGTCTGTTATTACACACCTTCCAATAGTATTTTTTACTAATACTGCGCAACTTTGTTAGCAGTTCATCATTCGTCGGATTTAAATTAAACAAAGTTTATTTTCACCTTCTCTCCAGGTAAATGACCTTGTTGCTTGAATAGTTTAAAAGCTTTATGGATTTGATTTTAGTAGACTTTTGATAAACAGCATAGCCACAATATCATAAAAATATTTTTTATTGAAATAAAAAGGCCACCATCTACTTTCATAGTTAATTTTATCCCGTTTTGAATACTTTGTTTTCTTTCTCTCAACACATTTTAACCAACTTTTACTTGTTCTAATTAATAGCTCCTACGCCACTTTATACACATAATTTTACACAATATGAGTGCTATGGACTTGAGGGTGGGAAATAAATATCGGATAGGAAGGAAGATCGGTTCAGGCTCTTTTGGTGACATTTACCTTGGTAAGTTATAATAGGAAACTTTTAGAAAATATATCAAAATATGATTATCTTGAATTACGAGTGTAAATTTTACCTATTACCTTTATCTTTGCAAATCTTTATCGTTTATTCACGTTATTATATATATAGGCACAAATATTATCAACGGTGAAGAAGTAGCCATCAAACTAGAATCCACAAAAGCTAAACACCCACAATTGGAATATGAAGCAAAAGTGTATAAAACACTTGCTGGTGGTGTGGGCATTCCGTTTGTTCGTTGGTACGGTACAGAATGCGATTATAACGCTATGGTTATCGATTTATTGGGCCCATCCTTGGAGGATTTGTTCAATTTTTGTAATCGTAAATTTTCATTAAAGACTGTGCTGTTATTGGCTGATCAATTGGTAGGTATAACATTAAAAAAGTAGGATTTGAAACAATTAAAATAAGTAGTTATATTAATGTAATATTTATTATATATTTATCTTATTTAAACTTAACTTTAATAGATTTCTCGAATTGAGTATATTCATTCCAAAAATTTTATTCATCGAGATATCAAACCCGACAACTTTTTAATGGGGATTGGTAAACGTGGTAATCAAGTAAATGTAATTGATTTTGGTTTAGCCAAGAAATATCGGGATCCAAAAACACATTTACATATCCCTTACAGAGAAAATAAGAATTTGACAGGTACAGCTCGATATGCTAGCATTAATACTCACTTGGGAGTTGGTATGTATATGATAAATAATGAAGTTTATAAATGATTTTAAAAATTCTTTAAAAATTTTTTACTTAGTTCATTACTGTATATTGCATTGTTATTTTTTTTTCAAAGAACAATCCCGTCGTGATGACCTTGAGTCACTGGGATATGTAATGATGTACTTTTGTCGTGGATCTCTTCCATGGCAAGGCCTTAAAGCTGCTACAAAGAAGCAAAAATATGATCGTATTATGGAAAAGAAAATGACCACACCTACAGAACTCCTTTGTCGCACATTTCCAAATGAGTTTGCTATCTATTTGAATTATACACGGTCTCTTCGATTTGACGATAAACCTGATTATAGTTATCTAAGAAAATTGTTTAGGGATTTATTTGTTCGTGAAGGTTTTCAATATGATTATGTTTTCGATTGGACAATTTTTAAATATGTTTGTAAATCATTTATCTTCATAATTTATTTGATTATAGTGCGAGTGTGTATTTAATCTTTACATAATTCTATTACCTCCTTTAGGAAAAAGACGCGAATAAAGTACATAATAATATGGCTTTACAACAAATGCCGGTTGATGAACATGGTGTTGTTGAACAAGTTGAAGAAGACAATAAAGGTCAAAAACAACGTATTACTTCTAGACCAGCCACTGGATTAGTGAATGTAAATGAACCCTCAGCACCACAGCGTCGAACTGCAAACAAACCGACCAACTATGGTATGGGTGGTTCACGAGCTGTTCCAACAACTCAGCTACCACCATCTCAAAGCGGCCCCTCACGCTTAACACAACCAAGGCGTAGTACCAAAGAGGCTACAGCTCAACCTGTACCCTCAGACAGATTGTATGTTCGCCGTATCTAAAATAATATTAAAATTTTTAGGTATTTACTAATCTTTGATATCTAATTATTATAGACTTCGTAGCCAAACTAAGAATAACCCACCAACATATAATATGAATTCGTTCCGAGTTAGGAAAGATGATACATCCGGTGGAAATGGGCAATGGTACTGATAATGGACATTATCAAATCGCCCTCTCAATTAACAATGTATGTTTTTTTACGAACAATTTTAATTTTTTCCCTTGTCCTTTATTCTTTTAGTGTGTATATCTCGTTATATACGCTACGCAAATTCTTTTCATATATCAAACCTTTTTTTTTATACCTTCCTATTTTTTTTTTCCCCCTGTTATAGAATGTTTTGTGCTTTTTTGTAATATGTTTAATAGTTTGACATTCATGTGGGTTTATATTCTGTCATACAAAGGAAAGTCAGTCAGATCGAAGGGAGGGACACTTAAAGAATGAAAACTGCGAGGCGGAATTCTAATAACTTTATAACTGTATTTGAAAACCTTGAGCGAACGATCTAATCGATCTGCTACAAGGCAAGAACATTTTATTTTTGCAAAGGAGCGGTGAAATATAAATATATATATATATCTTTTTTTTCTTTTTTTGTTTGATAATGTAGCATTTTAGATAATAGCACACAATATGCTGGGTGGAGCTGTAAAATTTATAGGCATACAGAAAATTGGCAAAAAGAAAAAAAAAACAAAAACAAAAAATCCTCACATTTAATTGATTGTAGAAAAATATATATATAAGTTTATACGATAGTTTTTTTTTTTTTTTTTTTTTTTTTTTTTGTTTTATTATTATTAATGGCATTTGAATATTCATTCCTTTATTGTATGGATTTTCTAAATATTTTGTGTTCATGAATTTTACCGTTTACATTCCCTTTCTATAGACTTACTTTAATTTGAAATTTTTAGGAACAAAAAAAAAAAAAAAAAAAAAAAATTGTCGAGGTATAATTGTATTCAAAGTATTCTATACTCGAAATATTGTTTTATGTATTTTCTCGAAACTCATCACAAATCAACAATTTTATTCTCATTTTTTTTTTTGATAACCATTCATTTTGCCATCATATTTCTTTTAAATCATCTTTTGCTATATATGCCTTTGATTTCACTTGAAGTCCAGTAGAAACGAATTTTGTAGTTTTTCTCAGATTTTTTTTAAATATACAGAAACTTGCTTATATATATATACATATATACAATATTATTCTCTTTGTAACTTTTTTTTTAAGGTTATTTTTTTTTATATTAAAAAACTGTTAATTTTACGGTTCACTTGGGAAAATTTTTTATGCTTGTGAATTATTAAAAATCATTCTTGACAACTTTTTCTTCAAAGTTTTACTTATTTGGTAATTATAATACTTTCTTTATTATTAGTATTATTAGTCCGGAACGAAGTGAAGGATTATATATTTCTATGCCGATGTCCACCCGTTTCGTAATTGGTTCGATGCAAATACCAATGTGAATTTTTTTAGTTAAGATCGTTTCGGATTTAACAACGGTTCCCATTTCCTAATTATTTTTTTTTTTTTCTTTTTCTTTTCTTTACCTTTTATTGATCATTATATGAATTGTTGTAGGACATGTATGATAAAAAAACCAATCGAGTTTAGCCTTACCAATTTATAAGATCTCAGATATCACGTTTTTATAATGAAACAAAAAAAAAAATTTAGACTAATCAGTCACAATGAAGATCTCAAATACAAAATATGTTATTTCAAATATTGAAATCATTACATTAAGGGCATTCCAAATCTCAATGTAATTGGAGATGACCATTATCAATTAAAATAAGGATCGCAATCAATACTTGAGCAGCTTCTCTTCTTAAGTTTAAAATGAAAAAAAAACTAATAAAAAGAATAAAAGTCAACTTAACTATACAATGAAGAAAAATGCTTGAACGACCTCACTTTATACTCTTTAACGTAACTCTATGGAAAAAAAAAGATGGTTTGGTCCTCCATATTATATTCATCGGAATGATAACTCATTTGAATTTCATAATCAAACTCCGACTAATTAAATTTTCATTTCCGATCCATTCTGACCCTAAATCAAAATGATTTATGATTTGTAAACCAATTTTTCATCAAAAATATTATAGCAAAACTTTCTGATTCGTTAATATTTAAAATGTCAAAGTTTACTGAGGGATTATTTCCATTCAAATAAATTTCCCAAGTATATTATTATTATTTTAGTCGAAGCACAAAAAAAAAAAAAAAAAAATAATAATAAAAATTATTTGCAAGAATTCTTATCAAAAAAAAATGTGTATCTTTGTTGGTCACCAAAGGGATTTATTAAAGGAAGGTCCCTTGAATTCCACACATACGTTACACCGTTGAAAAAAAATTTGTCTAATCTTCAATAAGTTTAAACTCTTGATGAAGAGTTTTATATATTATAATAGATTTAAAGATTTTTTTTCCAAGAAATTAAGGGTAAAAGTATAACTCGAAAAAAAAAAAAAAAGAAAGACGAGGTGGCTTATGTTTGTAGTACAAATCTCAATCTAGCATAACAAAAAAATTTTATGATAAAAAAAATCACAAAAAAATTTTTTTCTTCACATTTAAACTTTTTTTTTTATATATATATATTTTTTTTTATTAAAATGAATAGATTTACAGCTAAATCACTTTTCCATCGTCTTAAACCATCAGGTTTTTCTATTTTACAACAACAACGAACAAATTTTATTAAACCAACATTAAAAGTACTACCTTCGCCTTCTAATTCAAGGATTTTTATTACTTCTCAGCAGAGATTTTATTCTGCTGAAGGTGGTCTTTCTCGTCAGACTATTGAAGCTAGAATTATTGACATTCTTAAAGGTTTTGATAAAGTTGACCCAACTAAGGTAACCTTACATTTATGTTTCAATAAAATGAAATAAATATATATATTATATATTTATTATTATTACTATTTTCTTCATTAATTGATTTTAATGAAACGAATTAAGGTATCTTCCGAATCACGTTTCACCGATGATCTTGGATTGGATAGCCTAGATACTGTTGAGGTTGTTATGAACATTGAAGAAGACTTCTCTATTGAAATTCCGGATAAAGAAGCCGATGAAATTAGGTCGATCAAAGATGCCGTGGATTATATCGCTAAACGTGAAGATGCTCATTAATTAATAATTCTTATTTTTTCAATTAAGATAATTTATCAAAAAAGATATATATATATATATTATTTGTAATAAAACCCATTGAAAAAGGAAATTGGATGGGAATTTTTTTTTTTAATCAAAGGACTTTCGGTTTTTAATTTCTTTTTTCCTTTTTTTTTATTTTTTTTTTTATTTTATTTTATTTTTTTTTTTTTTTTTGTAACAGAAAAAGAAATTGAAAAATTCAGTTCTTACGTTAAATAATACAAATATATTTAATACAGATAATGTGTATGATTGCGTCTCATCCTTATTCCATTAGTAATATTTCCCAGTAACTATAATTGCACGAAATGCTTTATATGTAATTTAATAAAAAATTTAAAAAAAGCTTTCTACAATCTACATTTATTACATAAAAATATTATTATCTCAAAATGTATTTCTGAAAATAATTTTTTCAAGATCAAAATGTTCTTCCCTACAAAGTTGCTTTAATAGATATCTTTAACACCACTTAAAGAATGGTGTTCCTCCTTTAACAAGTTCCAACTTTTCAACGATAACTCGTTTAGTCCTCTTTTCTTCCAAAGATGACTTACCCTTGTTCCTACTCCCACTATCGAAGGCAAATTTTTCCTTGAAACGACTCCATCTTTGCTTAGATGAAGCAGCAGAAAATGAAGATGTGGCAGGTGCACTAGTTGATAATGAAGAATCATCCCCGGACGAAATACTTCTTTGGTTCGGTGGAATAGAAATCTCTTCCCTTTCACCATTCACTGTTGTTGGTAACCCAGAAACTCCGCGACTTCTACCAGAATTAATATCAATGCCATTGGCATTACGATTATTTACATCGTGTTCTAATGGAATTTCTATGGTTTCTACAATATTCCACACCATTGCATTCTGTTTTTCACAAAGTTGAATCGGACCTTTATCGGGCTGCTTAAGAATTTCAACTATATTCCATCCCTGACCCTTTAATACCGCAATCTGTTTTTCAAACATTCCCGGTTCAAAATCAGCATCCATTGAAAATAAACGGTGAAGCTCAAAAACTGTCTCTTTCCACCATTTAGGGTTAGAAAGCATAGAAAGAAAATGATTTCTTGTATTAGTAGTAAATGGTTTTCCAATAAGGGCTTCAGGAAGATGAAGCCATCCATATGGATAAGATCTCCATTGATCCGGATGCTTAAAAGGAAATGCTAATCCATTATCAATAGCTGCGACATGTATATGTGGGTACGGTAGTTTATAATTTTGTGAAGAATTTGACGCAGACTGTGGTATTGCAGGAGGATCAGAAGATATAGGATCATATAGTACATCCAAACTATCTGTTAATGCTTGATTATCTGTGTGAGAAGGTGGCTCTGAAAATGAAGAAGAAAGTTCACTGCCATCCGGTGATAATGGAGGTGGAGCATCTCCATTTGTTCCTTGAGGAGGAATTGAAATGGCCTCATTACCTTTAGGATGTATCGATGCGTTACCATTTGTTGAAATATCCGGAACTTTCATAACATTTGATGCAGGCGGAATATCCATGATACAATCCTTTTCACAATATTTAATCATCCAATTATCTGAGCCTCTGTCTATAATAACATATTAATAAAGTAAAAAATAAGGATAAATATGCTTTTTTTTTTATTTTGAAAAAAAAATATATATTCAATTACCGGTATTTCTCATTAAATAATCCAAAATAACTAATTTTTCAAACTGTTCTCGAAACTGAAGCTGTAACTCCGGTGTCCATTTAAAACGTCTTCCCAAATTATGAGACTCGGAAGGTAATCCTTCTTCGTCAATTGTCATAGACCGACCACATATAAGCGCGTTTAATGGTCGATGTTGTCTATCATCTATAACCACACCACTATCAGTCAACGTCGTTGCAGCATGATGATCAGGCCAAGGGTGTTCTCTCAAAAATACATTAGCGTCTTTGAATCCTTCCAAAAACACTTGAAAACTACCTATTTTTTCAGGTAAAGGTTTTGGATTTTTCTTTGATTTAGCTGCGCGACGGTCCAAATAATCATAATGAAACGATGGAGAAGAAAGCCGAACCACCTCAGTAACTGGAACGATGTTTAATAACAAACGGTGATCTAACAGGGAAGCGGCAGCTTCAGAGATGTAACCAAGATTTGGGATTAAACTTTTAGTAAATAAATAATAAAGCAATTGCATAATTTGGTTAGATAATTGTCGTCGTTTTTTTTTTTTTTTTTTTAAAAAAAAAGAGGCTTTTATTGCTGTGATTCAAGCTTACCAACTTCTTCCAAAAAAGCAAGGGAATAGATTTCTATGAATCCATTTTGTCCATTTAGGATTCAATTGGCCATATGGCTCTTCATTTTTTGGTTTAAATACGCCAACAATATTTCCTTCCACGTTCCGACAAAAATAAGATCCAGAAGAACCTTGGCAGATTCTTGTAGGTTGAATATTTATAGAAATAGCGGATTTAACAGAATCCACGATTTCAATGAACTCTTGTCGTGTCAAAGGTTTTTTATGATTTGAAGTCAAAGGAGGTGCACTTGGCTATATCATGTAATGATTCTGTCATTAAATTGAAAGTGATTACAAATTAAAGAATATTTTTAATTCATATTTATAAATACCTTCCAATCCTGTAAGGTTGGAATAAAAACTGATGAATAAATTTCCAATTCTGTCTTATCCAATTTCTCCTTTCCTTTTAACCCTAATTTTTTTGAAAATTGAGACCATGCACTACGATCAGTTCGATGAGCACTACTATTATCATCTATCGAATTTCCAGGTGTATTAACACCGTCGCTGTTTCTAGTATTATCATGTTCATTTTCATAAGGAGTGACCGTTCTGTAGGTTGAAATTGGAAATTTCTGTCCTGTTTCAGACAAAGAACGTTTTTGATAACGTTGTTTGTGATTCATGCATTCGACATTACGATGTTCGTTTTCTGATAGAGTGTTGAACATGGAATCTCTTTCTTCGTTGAAGCCTGGTTCTTGCTGAAGTTTTATGTAATTATTTGACCTAATCATTTTGTCAAAGGAAAAAATTAAAAGTTGTTATACAATTTAACCGAAAAGGAAAAATCGAAATGGATATTGACGCTTTTCTTTTTTTATTTTTATTTTATTTTTTATTTTTTAAAGATTTAAAAACATAAATAACAATGAGAAGATTTGATATATTCTATTTTTATAAAATTTTGATGCAGTATCCATCCTTTTATGGTATGAATAAGTATAAAAAACGATGTGTCAAAAAAACAATGTTCGAACGTCACGCAAATGTATCCAAAACGCGTACGAAAAAAATTCCTGAAAAATAGGAATGAAAAGATTGAAATTTTTCACCAACCCGATTTTCCGAGATGTAATAATAAAAATCAAAAAAAGATTTTAGGATTTTCAGTTAGACAATAAAAAAAAGGGAAAGAAAAGCTTGGATCGACGCTTGAATGATACCATGTGGCTGTTATAGGAAGTTGAGATGTGATGTATTTATGATCTTTTATGATCAATTCCGATAAGTTTAACTTGTTTTTATTGATGATAGTATTACACAATGTTTGTTAAAAGCTGAGTAAAGAATAAATTGGCTTGGACGTAAAGATGATAAACTCGAAATCACGTGGTGAAAGTAGGCTCAGCGCCTCAGCCTTTCAGGCGTGACCTTCATATTTCACATGACCGAATATTTGCCAAAATTTTTTTCCGTCAGGAACAATATGGTCCGGATAACATCATCTGATAGCATTGTTGTTGATATTCCGCGAAAATGAAATGGAATTCATATTCCGAATTGAGAACAATAATAAAATTGTGAGACCAATTCTAATGTATTTCATACTAGATCAAGATTACAAATAAAATTTTCAATTTCCGAGATTTTTTTAATCCAAATTATACATGATGATTAGTGATCCGATTTTCGGAGACACTACGTCATAACACGTTATTACTGCGGCCGAATATTGTTGGTTGAGAATGAATAAAGTTTTTGAGAACAAAGAATTTGCATTTCGGGGACTTGTACGGCAACTTGCATTAATAACAAGATGGCGTCGTTTGCACCCTCACTTGAATTCAGAGGAAAAAAAAAAATATTACTATTAGGAACGATTTTTTTTCCTTCGAGTTACAACATTTATGTGGCTTGGTAAAAAGAAATTTAGTTTAGTCTTTTGAAGAGGTAAAAGTCATACGATCAGTATTTTGCTAAATCATGTGTGGATGATCACTATTTCACACGCTGTTACAACCGAATTTCATTTGATTTGCTGAACTTTTTTTTTTTTAAAAAAAAAGAAATGTATAAAAAAAAAGATTCTTTTTCACGTTTTTTTTTGATCCGATTGAGTGTCACAATTTTAGGAAATTACTAGAACTACACAATTTAACTAAATTAAGGAGGTTTATTTTGTTTAACTCGTTTATCACCAGTTTATCGGTTATTTGTGAAACGTAATGTAACAAATCACACATAACTGATTGAGAAGAAAAGTATAAAAAATACTAATATCTTGTATTTATTTAAGTAATCTGGAAAAAAAAAGTTTTTTGTTCAAAGCCAATCAATTGTAACCAATCAAACGTTTCGTGTTTATTTGCTATATCAACATAATTGGCACGACTTGTCGTCCTTTTTTCAACCTTTTTTTTGTTCTCCCTGCATTTTTGCCTTCCTCCATTTGATTGATTGTCTCTTTTCCTTTCACATCCATCATCCATAAATTCTCCGCTTTTTCCTTCAAGCGACTAATATTTTTTTCTTTCAGAGAAAAAAAAAAAATTAAAAAAAGGCTTGAAGTGAAATCCACTTATTATTGTCTCGCCTTTGTCAACAAGTCAAAAGAAAAAAAAAATTTTTTTTTTCCTTTAATCTTTATAATAATTTCACATTTAACCTCCTCTTTTTATATATAAATAGACAAAGTAAATAAATATACTCATTTATTATAAATAAAAATTATACATATTTCATATAGATATCTTCTTTTTTTT